AAAGAGGCACATCTAAAGAAACAAACGATAAAAATAGCTTATTAAAAGCCTTCTGTGTTCTTATGTGTAACTCTTACTAAAAGGTACATTTCAGTGTGATTTTAGTGCAGAAAAACTAACCAGGGGCTCATTTTTCTCTTAATACTTGCACACATTTGCAGTCCCATTGTTGTTACGCAGGTATGTAAATTCTGCTGTTAACACCAACTTTGGATCTCATGTACGGAGCGGCTGACTTTGAAATGCCATAGAGACAACAAAATAAAGTAAAAAAAAAAAACAAAAACAAACCAACCCAAACACCACCATTTAAAGCTGTGTGGTACTCGAATTAGGATAATATATGGCTGGAGTGCAACAAGGCTCCACCTCACAATAGGAAGGCTGTTGTGTTTTTCCTCCAGTGACTTGTTTTGTTTTCACACAGGAGGCATAGATGTGATCTTCGCTCTGCAAGGGGATCCCAGCCTGTTTGTGGCTTCAGCTGCCAGTCAGCTTCTGGTGCACATGCTCATTCTCTCTGTAGAGTCTGAAACAACCAAACCTCTCGGTACAAAGGACTGTGACTGGCCAGCGTGTGCCCAAATGATTATAAAGCATATAGAAGATTCCCTTCAGTCCAGCTCTGCCTCTCACGTCGAGCAGTCATTAAAACTGTTAACTAGTTTGTTTGGCAGTTGTCGTTCTATGTGGACTGAAGTACTTTGGTTAGGAGTAGCAAAGCAAATAGAATCCTTTTTGACGGAAGAGACTGTTCAAGCACAGCACATGCTGGCGAATCTTTTGCTTAACATGGCATGGTAAAGATCTGGGACCTTGGATCCAGTGATGAGATATATCTGTTTTCCTCCATCTAATAGGGCATATTACTTACACTTCTTTCTTCTCAGGTCCCCTGTGTTTTGTGACACGGAAGGTAGTTTTTGGGCATTAGTGTCTTCTGCTCTGGAACACTTAACACCAGTACAAGCGGGTCCTTTGGCAGTGGGAGTTCTGAGGCTCTACAAATGGTATGACTTACTGCAATGAAAATTTTGCACTCTGCAAATGTTTCTGTAGTAATGTCTCTGGTGTTTTTCCAAGAACCATTTTTTTCCTCACGGCATTTTCCACTACATTCCTTAATATGTAAGACTGGTTGGCAGGAACTGTGCAAGTAGCTAACAAACTTCAGAAACTGATAGTAAGAATAACAGAGTTTCAAAGAGAGAGAAATGGAAGGAGCCAGTGTCACATTTATGTGTATACACTTGCATCTTACCTGCAGCCAGCCAATTTCATGAAGAAATAGCAAACTCCTTTAACTTTATACTGCCAAGGTTGATTAAGGTGGTCACAATTTGACTGCCTGTCAAATCAAGTAGTCTCCATTCATTTTTCTCTTTCACAAAACCAGTGACTAGCATGAGAGCTTTCACCGCTGTCCAGCACAAGTGGGCATCTGGAGACTATCGACAGTTGTAGAACAACTTACGTTGGAGGGAACCTGTAGAAGTGATCTAATTCAACTTCATGCTCAGTGCAGGGCTAACTTCAAAGACAGATCAGGTTTCTCAGGGCCTTCACCATTCAAGTTTCAAATATCCCTAAGGATGAGTATTTCGCAGGTTCTCTGGGAAAATTGTTCCAGTGTTGAACCACTTTCATTTCACTATGAAAAGTATTTTCTGTATATTCAGTTGGAATCTACCCTGTTGCAATTTAAGATTCTTCTCTTGTTGTGCTAAGTAACACCTCTGTCTTAAGAAATGCCTCTCTCTAAACCCCCTTCTTACACAGAATCCCACTCTGCGTAGCTTGATAAGGCTGCTTATAAATTCTAGAGCCATTTCTCCTCTGCTTTCAGTTAGACAAGGAAGCTTGGAAGAAAGCTTGAATTGTGACACTTTCATTGCTCTGTCATTGCTGGCTTGTTTAAAAGCCTGCGTGAAAAGCATTATTCTGCTCAGCATTTAGGGGCAGATGTTTGGGAAGGAATTGAAGTGTTCTTGTTTTGGTAACTGCTGTTTCCTCCTTGAAGCCCACAAGATGTGAGGATTCAGGCACTGACTGTTCTACTTCAGCCAATGGACTGTATTTTGAGAGCAGCCTCCCAGCCTCTGGAATATGCAGGTACAGTTGTGATAGAAAAGTTAGAGGCTAGTCTGCTTGCCAGTGTTTTAAGTGTCTGGTGCAGACAAAACCAGAGGAGGAAGATTAGAAGAAGTCAAGGACAGTAGCAGTGTTTGTGGTGAAGTGCAGCATCCTACTGACAGTTGCATTTGAAGGGATATTCATACTACATCACCTGCATATCTTGATTAACTTTAAAAATCACAGTCCTTCGTATTCATTAACAACCTGAGCTCTTCCCTCCTCTGGTCCTCTAGGTTTGCTGGATGAGTCTGTTAGCGATCCCGCCGCTGTTGAAAGTCTTCTGTCCTCCAAGTCATCTTGTGCGAGTCTCCTGTGTCAGACCCTCGCTCATCTGGAGGAGCTGCTGTCTCTGGTAACGTTCAGAGAAGGAAAAACCCTGGGGATCAAATTGGTCCTTGAAAGACAGGGTTAAGATTGGTTGCAAACTTTTGCAGTAGAGCTTAACAGAAAGCGGAGAGGAGTTGACAGTGAGGACTACCATACGTTAAAGAGATCTAGCACAGTAGACTCCAAATAGGAAAACAGAGGAATGCTGTGGCTTG